TTATTTGTCAAGTGTATGTCTATAAAGCTAGGCGAAAGAAATGACCATGTAAGTTTTCTGAGCCTGTGCTTCTTGCTGCATCTTATATTGCAGACATCATGGGGGAGTGGGGTAAGAGCACTGGACAATGGATTGAGAAACCTGAATTCTAAATTCTGACTTACCACCAATTAATTTACTTTTGTGACTATGAAGTTGACATTTACCTTTGTCTCCATACATGAAATTCATTTGAACTAATAGTTACTCGATATTTACTCTTTGCAAGAGATACCTGTAAGTGTTGTTTCCAGTTTGTCTTCCTAAATATTTTTGCTCATTGTTGAATTCGCCTTTTTCTGCAATATTTTGGTCTGTAGTAACTCTGGGCAGATAAATAAGGGAGATTACATTGTGGCTAGAAAGTTTTCCTCTGAAGAGACTTTTATTTAGGTGTATGGAAAAATTTGAGTACTCATGGTGAAAAGCTTTATCTGTGATTTAATTTAAAAGCCGAAAAATCAGTATTGTTTTGTAATATTATGACATTAATTCACGATTACTACTAATTTACTAAGTTAAGGCAATGGAAACCTCTAAATCCTAGCAGTGACTAAGTAATATAATAATGTCAGGGGTTTACTAGTTGACTCAAAATTATTCATTTTTAGCAAAGTAGAAATAAAGCTGGTTTCCTAATTTGAAACATCAAATTGTAATTATTTTCATATTTTAACTAAAGTAAAAGAGACTGAAATATTTCAGCATTATTTTGGTGCCTTTAGTGAGTTAGTAATTACTTAGGTTTAAGAGATGCTGCTTCCCTTAGTATGTATACCTTTTAGTTAGGGGCATATTGATTTAAATATATAGTACTTGCCAATGTTGACAGTAAGAGAGGACAAATATAGTTTTCAGTTCTGTTGAGATAAGGTCATTCTTGAAAAATAATAGTGTCAGAAGAAATGCCTCAGATAATGTTAAAAAGAAAAAAATGGAAAAAAGGAGACAGAATACAGAAGAACTCTATTTTAAAGTCCTTATTTGTTAATGTAAAAGTAATGAAAAATGGTGGTAGCTTTGCTGCAGAATTGTAACTATAAAAATGTTAGTTTATAACGGCCCATGATTGGGCCAACTTGTAGCACTCAATATAAAAAGTAATGCATTTATCCCATGTGAAATAATGTCTCTTGAGATTATGAGGATAAATGATATAATATGTTTAATTAGCTTTGAGCATATGCCATATTTAGTCTCAGTATCTCTAAGAAGGAAGGGAAGCATAGGTGAGCAGAAAGAGGTGCATGGATGTGATTTTATCACAATTTTAAATTAACAAATTGAAACAAAATCATACAATTGAATTCACAACAGAGCCTAAATTAGAACAAAGTTTTATCTTAAACCTCTCTATGCAAAGTTCTTTAACTAGAACATGCTATCTCAAGTAATTTTGATAAATTTACCTGTTTCTAAAACCTGAATAATAATTATCCGTGCATGGAGCAAGAATGTATGTGCCTATTGGTGAATCTGACTTTAAGCCCCTGTATACAAAAATTCCACATTATAAATATAATTTATGGAGTTTATAATTTTACTTTGCTCTCATAAATTTTTGTCTCAGTGTGGACTCCCATTGAATAATGAAAGTACATTTACTAAGCATTTTATAAACACAACAAATTATAATTTTCAAAGTTCAGGTTAAATGCAGTTTTATTCATAACACTTTCCAGTCCAGCTGATAGTGATTTCCCCCTCCTATTCTTTAATTCTTTGTTTATCATTGTCTACTCTTGTCTACTATTATAGTTATTTTTGCATTTTAGTTCTAGTTCTTATTCTGTTGAATTGTCAGCTCCCAAGTTTCCTTGTATAAAGTGCTTAATAAATATTTATTGAATGAGCAGAAATTCACCTATACTTGATTAGAGAGTGATCCTGAAAGTAGAAGGAGGGAAAAGTTCGTAAGACTCTCTCCAAGGGAACTTGGTTGAGGGGGCTGGGTAAGAGTGCATTTTTATCTGTATTCCAAGTCTTCCACTCCCACATAAGAACTTCCTAGTGAGCCTCCTTCTGCTCAGAAAGGAGCTATCATACTGTGTTCATGTGTGTGTGTGTGTGATGAATGGAGGGAGTTCCATAAAAGGTGAAGGAGGAGAAAATTTGAAAGAGCTATAATATAAAACAAAACAATATGCCTCCATTCTTACATAACTGGTAGAGAAATGTAGAAGAGAGTGCATTAGGCACAATAGAGCATTTGAAAACCAGATTTTATCAGAAATTGCTACCAGGTTAAAGTATTAGCATGATTAAAGCTGCTTTTAGAAATGAGGCCCTTCTATATATTCTTGTTATGCATAAGACATACCTTCAAGCCCCCTTTTTTTTTTCCGGACAGAAAGTATAAAACTTTGATCAGTGGTAATTGACAAAAGCTATTGATAAGAAATTTGAAGATTACATACACATGTATATACACATATATATAAACAATAGCTCTATTTACCTTTCATAGACTCTTAAAAGTCTCTTTTTGTTGTTGCTACTCTGTATCAGTGGTGGATAACAAAGACTTAGCTCAGAAAAGGGGTTTCCACTAAAGTTCTTTTCATCAGAATAAATCCCTGCCCATCTCAGAGTTGTTGCTTTGTTTACCTTATAAAACTATCTGCTAGTTTTTTTCTAGGTAATTATTCTGGTGAGCTTATTCCTGTATTAGGAACATACATTCTTTTTTTATTTCTCACTGTCTCTCTGCCTTTCTCTGAATCTTTCACAAATAAGATCCTTTGAATATTCCTGCCTTTTAAATATTAATTTGATAAAAAATTGGGCTGTGGCTCTAAGCATTTTCAGTGTTTTATTTACTGTTACTATTCCAAACAGTCCTTCATTTTCATTTCTCTTACCACTAACTCTGCTCTGGAGTCTTCCATTGCCTACCTTGTATTTGCTGACCTTTCTCATTCCACAACCAATGTTTTGTTTGCCCTTTGTCCGTGTTACCTATGACATAACAGAAAGATTTAATACACTCTTTCTTTAACTTGATTTGAGGCACACTTAAGAATCGTGAATTAAGCTTCATTTCACAAATTGCCCTCTTCTTTCACTTAGGCCTCAGTTCTTGTGCTTAAAGCACTGGGTACTAGTTAAACTCTTAAGAAACACAGATGTGCTTTTCATAAATACAAATGTATCTTTTAAATAAAAAATGAATAGTTTCAAAAATAAAAGTCAGACTTTTCAATTATGTTCCTTCACTCTTTTTTTCCTTAAATATGAAGATTAATGTAAAATAATAATAGGGATAACTGGATGGGACGTCTGTGGGGTCTCAGTACTGTCTTTGCAATAATTTTATACATCTAAAAACTTCTCTAAAAGGTTACTGAAAAATATATGAAGTTTTTCTTCATATGACTTTTAGAGATATTCAAGTGGTGTATTTCTTACAAATCATGAAAAATCAAGATGAATATCAATGTTCTTTGTTTGGATCAGTTTGAGAATGTTACTTATTCCCAGGATCTTTGTAGAATATTGTACAGAAATAAATGATATTGGTCTCCCAAAACCCATAAAATACACCTTGCTGTTCCTCTCAAGGTTTATGTAGTGGCCATGGTAAATGGAGTAGGTAGGAATGCTTGATTGACTTAGGAGTCTGTCATGAGTTCAAAGTCTCAAGTGAAAAGAATCAACTCTAGTACTGATTGGGGAAACAGTATTGACCAAATCTTTCTGGATTTTATCTGGACTCTTCAGAAGGCTCTTGATGGTATAGGTTCTGCTCTGGTCTTTTTAGATCAAAAGTGCCAGCTGTGGCACATTTGAATATGAAAAATACCTCATCTTAAAGGTAACTGTGTTGCATTTTCCCTTCTCAGCTTTTCCTTCAGAATCATTTTATAGCTTCACCCATCCTAGCTTTTGTTTCTTGGGCTTTACTTGACAGAACAAATGATATCCTAGAAAATAGTTGTAGATTTGTGGTTTGATGACTGCTTTATTCAAGTCTCATATAAATTGAGAACTGGTTATCCTGCTTCTTGCTATGTGGGAGAAAAGATTCTATTCCTAAAGGCACCCATCCTTTCTCTTCCCTTGTGGAAAACAGCTTGAAAAATTTCTTAGGCTAACGAGTCCTTGTCAAAACAAATTTTTATTTGAGGAACTAAGATGCCTAGGGATTTAGCAACAGCCCATATGAATTACAATGGAATTGAAAGTTTAGAATGGAGAAAAAGAAATTCTCACATTAGTTAACCCAGTTGCACCCCACTTTTAGATAACATTAAGTATTTTAACCATTTGCTGGTTAAAAATAGGTCTCCTGTTTAAAAATTGGCATAACATATTCTCAGGACAGCCAGTATAGAATGTGTTCTACATTTTATTGTGAAAATTACCAGTAGCTATCAAGATTATTTTAAAAAATAGTTCCATGACTGATATTTTGTAATTGTTGAACTCACATATTCTTTTATTCAGTGGCTTTACTTCCATAATGGAAAAGTACATTTTATTTGTGACATCTAGAATTATGAATAAAGATGGAATTAATAGGTAAATTATAGTTTTTCCTTTAAGATGATTTGAGTTTCATCAGGGAAGGTAACCTTAGAATGCTGAAGTGCAGCTGGAATAAACGAACTATTTTACTTCTTTCATAAAGATTGCAATATATGCAAATTTGAATTCAGAGATGATCACACATGTGTTTTGAGTGATGGAGAAGTGAAAGAGTATTTAAAATGTAACTGCTTAATTTCACATTTATTTAATGATGCTTCCAAAGTAACTGTTCTCCTTCACTGCCATCTCCCTAAGTATACACATACAGTGTTCAATGGTTTCTTTGAAATCTAATCCTTAAAGCTGGATTCCTCGCTTAATAAGATATACTCGATCAGTCCTGGTTTATTATATGATTTTTGACACTTGTCACCTAGACTGACCTCTCTGTACAGCTTATCTTCACCTTTGTCTCTCTTCCTCCCTTACAGAATCCCAAGGACTGCAGCAAAGCCAGGAAGCTAGTATGTAATATCAACAAAGGCTGTGGCTATGGCTGTCAACTCCATCATGTGGTCTACTGCTTCATGATTGCATATGGCACCCAGAGAACACTCATTTTGGAATCTCAGAATTGGCGCTATGCCACTGGTGGATGGGAAACTGTGTTTAGACCTGTAAGCGAGACCTGTACAGACAGATCTGGCATCTCCACTGGACACTGGTCAGGTAAGAACCTTGCATAGCATTTCACATCTGTGGTTAAAGTTGCCACGTAACCAAATTGTCAGATTTCTAGGTACAACTTTATGGCTCACAGTCATCTTTTTCTCTGGACCCAGGAATGCTATATATTATCCAGATAAAATCTAGAATGATACTTTATTTAAGAAGTGTTTTATGATTGGTTTCATTTCTGATGTTCATTTTTATCTAGATTTATCAAAATCACTAGGTTTTTTCAAGGAATGTTAATTTATTATTTTAATGATGATGCTGATATACCTTCCATCTTTTAGGGTGCTTTCACATTATTGAACTCATATGATCCTTCTAATTATCCTGTAAGGTAGACCAGTGATTCTCAAACTTGAGCATGTATGAGAACCACCTGGAAGACTTGTTAAAACACTAGCTTCTATTTCAGTAGATCTGGGGGTAGAGCCTGAGAATTTGTGCTTCTGACAAAATTTCCAGGTCCAGGGACCATGCTTTGACAACCATTGAGGCAGACCATGCAGAGACCTTTATCTACATTTTACAGTTGAGGACACTGAAGCCTAATTTGTTTATGTGATTTTAATTTTATTTAGGAAACATTTGATGAGGAATAATGTGGTTAAGGTACTATGCTAGGCTTTATAAGAAATACAAAGATCAGCAAGAAATTTCCTTCTCTCTAAGAATGTAGTGATGGAGTAGAATATAGTTTTTCACCGCTAGTCTATTATTGTTCTTTCTACAGTAATGATCTTTAAACAAGATCCAAAGTTTGGCTACATTTGTTAAAATCCTGGCTTTATCATTTTGTAATTTTGGGCAAGTTATTTAACCTAGGCCTTAGTTTCCTCATCAGTAAAATGAGAAGTAATAATTTACTTACTCTTTGAGTACTTGTTGGTAGGATTAAACAACTACTACTTGTTGGTAGGATTAAATAAAATAATATATGTAATACATTTTAGCACAGTAAGATGATGTTGATATACCTTCCATCTTTTAGGGTGCTTTCACATTATTGAACTCATATGATCCTTCTAATTATCCTGTAAGGTAGACCAGTGATTCTCAAACTTGAGCATGTATGAGAACCACCTGGAAGGCTTGTTAAAACACTAGCTTCTATTTCAGTAGATCTGGGGGTAGAGCCTGAGAATTTGTGCTTCTGACAAAATTTCCAGGTCCAGGGACCATGCTTTGACAACCATTGAGGCAGACCATGCAGAGACCTTTATCTACATTTTACAGTTGAGGACACTGAAGCCTAATTTGTTTATGTGATTTTAATTTTATTTAGGAAACATTTGATGAGGAATAATGTGGTTAAGGTACTATGCTAGGCTTTATAAGAAATACAAAGATCAGCAAGAAATTTCCTTCTCTCTAAGAATGTAGTGATGGAGTAGAATATAGTTTTTCACCGCTAGTCTATTATTGTTCTTTCTACAGTAATGATCTTTAAACAAGATCCAAAGTTTGGCTACATTTGTTAAAATCCTGGCTTTATCATTTTGTAATTTTGGGCAAGTTATTTAACCTAGGCCTTAGTTTCCTCATCAGTAAAATGAGAAGTAATAATTTACTTACTCTTTGAGTACTTGTTGGTAGGATTAAACAACTACTACTTGTTGGTAGGATTAAATAAAATAATATATGTAATACATTTTAGCACAGTAACTTATATATGAGTTCTAGTAATTGTTAGCTGTCATTAGCCTTATTCATTGAGCAAATATGCATTAAATGCCTACAGTGTGCAGATACTGAACTAAATGATTAGGTTAAATGGCAAGCAAGATAATACACTCTCTTTGCACTCACATCTTGTGGGAAGTCAAACGTTTCTTCAAAGACTAGAGGCATTTCAGTAAGTACAATTTCTCCTGCAGCTGAGCACCTTTTTACACAAGATATGGAATAAAGAGCTATGTCATTAGCAAAGTGAGTAACCTTAGTTGTTTGTTTCTTTTTGCCTCCTTTGGAAAGTATCACGTAATACCTGACTCTTCACGGAAGTGTCCAGAAAGTTGCTATATAAAAGGTCCTATATGGGTTTAAAGTATATCTTGTGAGTTTTGTCTTCCTTAGGATGATTTAGGATGCTTATTCTATTTATCAACATATCGTTTTCTTTGCAAACCTTTTCAGGTTTTAAATTGGACCTCTTTCTGAATCTAGAACCTAGCTGTGCTAATTTACTTTTGAGATTACATCTTCCATTGACCTGGTCTGTAGTTTACAGGTGCTGTAAACGAATTAGGTATTAAGGTTAGGAAAAGACAAGAAAAGCAATTCTGTCAGGCTCACTGCAGGTAACTTTTTCATTTTGTGGACTTATTTCAGTTTTGAGCTTCTTTGATTGTGGAAGTGTATAGGCAGAGTAAGGCAAGATTCTTCTTGTGTTTCACTATTTCTAGGAGAGGCAGTTGGGTGGTAGTCAGTTAATAGAAAAGTGAAAAGCTGGTCTCACTAGACTTAACACATTTAATGTAGAGTTTGGCCCTGCCTATATGCTACGCTTAGTTGTTTGGTTTGTTTGATTTTTAATTCTTCCTCATATATTTTATAGTCTTTAGTGTCAACTACAGGATATGAAGATTAAAAAGTTTGAATTTGAAATATTCAGCATTTCTTAATGTTACAATTAAACAGGTTCTAGAAATAATCCTTCTTTTATTTACATGAAATTTAAAGCCTAATAGATAGTAAATGATTCATCCAGGATCATAGAGCTTATAAATACAGAATTCTGTTTAGTACATTTACTTCCACCTACCTCCTGTTTAAGTCCTTCCCAATAAATTCATACCAAAAACCTTACCTAGCAGAATAATATTAGAGGCAAAGCAACTGTCCTGAATGTCTAGGAACTAAATAAAATGTGTAACTTTAATATCATTACATTCCTTCATCCCTCATCCAACTTTTTTTTGTTGAAGTATAGTTGATATACAATATTATATTGGTTTCAAGTATATAACATAGTGATTCTACAGTTTTCTACATTATTAAATGCTCACCCCAACTAGTGTAGTTACTACCTGTCAATATAGAAAGATGTTACAGAATTACTGACTATATTCTCTATGCTGTACTTACATCTCAATGACTAATTTATATTATGATTGAGATATAGTGCCTCTTTTTCCCCTTCACCTATTTCACCCACCCACCACAACTCCCCACACCCCCGTGGTAACCACCAGCCACTTCTAAGTGTCCATGAGTCTGTTGCTGTTTTGTTGATTTTGTTTTTAGATTCCACATATAAGTGAAATTGTGTGATATTTGCCTTTCTCTGCCTGGCTTATTTCACTTAGCATAATATCCTCTAGTTCTATCAGTGTTGTCATAAATGGCTGGGTTTCTTTCTTTTTTTATGGCTAAATAATATTCCATTTTATGTATGTACATTTTTATCCATTCATCTATTGATGGATGTGTTGGTTGCTTCCATATCTTGACTACTGTAAATAATTTGATAATAAACATAGGAGTGCATATATCTTTTTGGATCAGAGATTTTGTTTTATTTGGGTAAATTCCTAGAAGTGGAATTACTAGGTTGTATGCTATTTCTATTTTTAGTTCTTTGAGGAACCTCCATACTACTTCCCATAGTGACTGCTCCAATTTGTATTCCTACCAACAGTGTAGGAGGGCTCCCTTTTCTCCACATCCTTGCAAGCACTTATTAATTCTTGTGTTTTGGAAAGTGGCCATTCTGACAGGTGTGAGGTGATATCTCATTGTCCCATCCAGTAACTTTTTCCAAACCTTCTATATAATTTTCAGTGCTGAACAGGTATCAATGGTATTTCCTTCTTAATCATTTGCAGTCCCTGATTAAAGAAGTCATTTTATCATTGTAGCACAGAATAATTTTAATTAAATAGATCTTTCTTTTATAACTTTCCAGTTATACAATGCAAGCATTGTATAAAATCATGTTTTTCTTCATGCTAATGAATTAAACTGTGTGGACACCTTTAATTAATTAAAGTAATAATTATTTTCTATATGTTTTCAGAACTCATCATACCTAAAATAATTTAGATGCTAATCTTGTATCCAAAAGAAGGAAGAGATTTACATTTGAGCTTAGAATATTTTTATTTTTATTTAAAGTATGGTTGTCATCCACTTCTGTTTTTGTTTATATTTATTATCTGTATATATACCTTTTAGAGAAACTAACCTATTTCTAGAATTAGAGAAAACAGAATTAATTTTAATCCTGTAGTTAGCCATAAATCAACTACATCTGTTATTGTTCTGACTTGTACAGAGAATCTTGGGTTATATCCCTTGGCAACACTGCCATGAAATTATTATTGTTCATATATACTTGACATGATGTGCCTGCAAGTGAAATTTAGTGATTCCTATTCATATCTGTCACTAGTACAGGAATTACTGTACACATGTGACCTTTCAATAGCTAAATCATATCTTGTTGTGGGCTGAGTTCTGTTTTTCTCTTTCATTATTTTGTATATATGTATGAAACCATACCCTTTGAGGTAAGTAGTTTAGTTAAGTGAAATAAAATATAGAAAACTGTGTTTCCAGTTAAAAAAATCTTTCCCATCACCTGTATGTGTCATGTCTATTCTAAAGTTGTTGATGAAATGATTAATTTATTTTTCTATATTACAAAATATTTCCTAAACCCAAACTAACTATATATATTAGGCCTGATTTTTCCAAGTAGATTTCTTATAGTGATTCAGAATGGAAATCTTGGTATTTAATGGTTTGAAGTAGCTTTTGACAATTACTGATCTGTTTTTTTTAAGTATTTGACTATTTTAGTCAATTATGATGACCAGCATCCACAGTGCTTTTCTAAGTGATACAGATACTCTTGGATAGATGACATAGCAATAGAGAACCTCAACCATTCAAACTCAATTCTCCACTGTCTTTTCCATTCTAAAAACTGAACATTCTCTGAGATTTGCAGATTAAACTTCCTTAGCTGTTTTGTATTTCCTTTTCTTGTCCTT